ATTTTGTATATGTATCAGGACAATGATAGCATCAATTCCAATTTTCAATCAGACGTCTAGTTCTAGCAATTCTACTAAAACTAAATGTTTTATAATTTGACCCCCTCAAAGGTCTTGTATGATACAAGCAAATTTTGCATGGATATATAAAATATTTTGAAATCCTCTTTAGAAACACTTTAACTTAATCCTTTGCCAATTCCTTTTAAGTATTCTATTATTGTCCATTTGCATTGTTTTCTTTATTCATTTATGGCGCTGTTAATGTGCTTATAAATATTTGTGTTTATGTATTGCCTTTGATATGATACGGTGTAAAATGAGGATATACTATATAGATATAAGTATTATGTATGATGTGATATTAATATAAATATAAATATACTTACTGATACATTTAACACACTGTTTGGACAATCCCCAAATAAAATCACCACAGTTATCACACCAAGTGGGGTTAAACAACTGACACGGCACAAAATTATGTCCTTGCCCAGATCCCTGCCCAAAAAACTGGGCCATCTCTATATGTTCCTCACAGGCTGGCCACTGAAGAGAAAGGTCATCTAGGTCAAGGTCATTATTATTCGAGTTTCTGTATCCTGAAACACGTTTCGTGGGAGTCGATTGTCGTATTCCTTGAACTGCCTGAATTACACTCTTACAATTCTGTTCAATATTGGCCTGAACTCTGCCTAATTTACGCTTGATTAGCCCTAATACATCGGGTGAACTTGTAGAACTTGGATAATAATTACCTTGTAGCCCGTTCGTATTAGCCATTACTCTCGCATTTTGAAATTCAGGCTCAAGAAATGCTCTAGCCATATATAGTCACTGACAAGCACAGAATTGCAAACTCAAAATTCAAGTCTTTTAAAAGCACAGAGTTGCAAATATAAAATTCAAGTTTTGTGGCAAGCGCAAAGGGTACCCAGTGCAGAGTGGCAAAATCAAAATTTTCAAAAGTTTTGTCAAAACTCTAATTTGGATGATCGGTGAATAAATATTGAGCAAAAAAGGTTTTTATAAATAGTGGTATATTATGAGCAATAAGGATATATTAAGAATGGGTAACAGAGTGTAAAGGCTTTGTATTAATAGTAAACACTCCTATTAATAGTGTTATCAAATTAATACTATAAGGATATGATATCACCTCTCCCTTTATTATACTAAGGGGCTTGTCAATCGCTGACCAATGTTAAAACATGGACAGAAAAGTTATAAATTAGTAAAACACTGTGTTAGAAATTCACCAACACTACCAATTTGATCTATGAGCCTATGCACGATCAAGATCAGTTGTATTAAGCTTTATGTTCACAAGTTTCATTATCCGAATAAAATTTACTATTCCCAACAATCTAGATATATATCCTGTCAAGTATAACCCAATAAACACTTAAAATTATTCACCACTCCAAAACAGACTTGCTACATTCTTCAAATGTTGAGGGTTTTTTTAAACGTTACACACCTTCAAAGTTTAAAACTTTAAGTAAACCATTTTTTGACGTCTCACATACAAACTTATCCCTCTTATGACAGGCTCTGTAAACACAAAATATAGCAAGGAGTTAATTTCAAACATGATTTTCACAAATTTAGAATACCTTCAATAAAACTGGTTTATCTACTTGTACAATTCTATACAATTAAATTTTAATTGGGTCATTTAAAAGAGGTCATGACCCAAGTTTAAACCATCACATGGTTTAGTTCTAAATGACAATCAAACCATTTAAAGAGTGACCATTAATATTAAAAACCTTACACGTGTAAATGTTTTGGTTTTGCTCGACACAATGAAAAGTGTGTCAATCCATTCACAATGAATTGTCAATCCCATTGAATACAAATATGGGACAAATCGTTGCTGATGCAATGCAATAGTTTTCAAATAATACAGCTTTATATCATATGTAATGTTGTAGCCAATGAAACAATGAACACGCTAGCTAAAATGAGTCATATTATATATACCGATACCGAAAACATGACAACATCATTTGATTTCACTTCCGTTTTTATTTTATCTCGACTATAAATTTTCTGTTCAATATTTTGATGGAGTTGACGCTTTGTTTCAAAGCCATTAAGATGTAAATCTCTTCAAAATTGCACCAGACATAAGCAGAATTGAATCGTTTTGTTAAATATACTTACATTTAGTTGTTATTTTTGTTTTGGTCCCTTCAAATGAACAAAGAAAGTAACCTTATCTTTTTTCTTACGTTTCTCGCATGGCCGCCATTTTCCCACGGTTTTAAACCTCCTTTCGGTTTTAATTGAAGAGTTCCAAATTTTTATGGGTCAAGTTTCACTAGTCAAAGTGCATTGAACGAATGTTGTTCTCATTCGAATCATTCAGATTCCACAATGATATATTTGCAACACAAAATCAATTTTCAAATTGACTAGAGCTTATCTCATGCTGTCGACACGTGTTTTGGGTACGAAATCCTCATCAGGACATCTTGTTACACGGCGATTTAAATTATACATGAATTTCTTTTATCAAACATAAAGATTTCTGTATTATGTCTTTTAGTAAAAGAAACCTAATATATATAATGTATGCAGTAAATCATTTAGTAAAAGAAACACAATATGCTGATAGTAAGAGAAACCTAATAAATATGATGTCTATAGTAAATTATTTAGTAAGAGAAACCTTATAAATATGATGTCTATAGTAAATTATTTAGTAAGAGAAACCTTATAAATATGATGTCTATAGTAAATTATTCAGTAAGAGAAACCTAATAAATATGATGTCTATAGTAAATTATTTAGTAAGAGAAACCTTATAAATATGATGTCTATAGTAAATTATTTAGTTAGAGAAACCATATAAACATGATGTCTATAGTAAATTATTCAGTAAGAGAAACCTAATAAATATGATGTCTATAGTAAATTATTCAGTAAGAGAAACCATATAAACATGATGTTAGTAATTATTTAGTAAGAGAAACCTAATAAATATGATGTCTATAGTAAATTATTCAGTAAGAGAAACCTAATAACTATGATGTCTATAGTAAATTATTCAGTAAGAGAAACCTAATAAATATGATGTCTATAGTAAATTATTTAGTAAGAGAAACCTTATAAATATGATGTCTATAGTAAATTATTCAGTAAGAGAAACCTTATAAATATGATGTCTATAGTAAATTATTCAGTAAGAGAAACCTAATAAATATGATGTCTGTAGTAAATCATTTAGTAAGAGAAACCTAATAAATATGATGTCTATAGTAAATTATTTAGTAAGAGAAACCTTATAAATATGATGTCTATAGTAAATTATTCAGTAAGAGAAACCTTATAAATATGATGTCTATAGTAAATTATTCAGTAAGAGAAACCTAATAAATATGATGTCTATAGTAAATTATTTAGTAAGAGAAACCTGATAAATATGATGTCTATAGTAAATTATTTAATAAGAGAAACCATATAAATATGATGTCTATAGTAAATTATTTAGTGAGAGAAACCTAATAACTATGATGTCTATAGTAAATTATTTAGTAAGAGAAACCTAATAAATATGATGTCTATAGTAAATTATTTAGTGAGAGAAACCTTATAAATATGATGTCTATGCTAAATTATTCAGTAAGAGAAACCTAATAACTATGATGTCTATAGTAAATTATTTAGTAAGAGAAACCTAATAAATATGATGTCTATAGTAAATTATTTAGTGAGAAACCCAATAAATATGATGTCTATAGTAAATTATTTAGTAAGAGAAACCTGATAAATATGATGTCTATAGTAAATTATTTAGTAAGAGAAACCTAATAACTATGATGTCTATAGTAAATTATTTAGTAAGAGAAACCTTATAAATATGATGTCTATGCTAAATTATTCAGTAAGAGAAACCTAATAACTATGATGTCTATAGTAAATTATTTAGTAAGAGAAACCTAATAAATATGATGTCTATAGTAAATTATTTAGTGAGAAACCCAATAAATATGATGTCTATAGTAAATTATTTAGTAAGAGAAACCTGATAAATATGATGTCTATAGTAAATTATTTAGTAAGAGAAACCTAATAAATATGATGTCTATAGTAAATTATTCAGTAAGAGAAACCATAATAAATATGATGTCTATAGTAAATTATTTAGTGAGAAACCTAATAAATATGATGTCTATAGTAAATTATTTAGTAAGAGAAACCTTATAAATATGATATCTATAGTAAATTATTTAGCAAGAGAAACCTAATAACTATGATGTCTATAGTAAATTATTCAGTAAGAGAAACCTAATAAATATGATGTCTATAGTAAATTATTTAGTAAGAGAAACCTAATAAATATGATGTCTATAGTAAATTATTTAGTGAGAGAAACCTAATAAATATGATGTCTATAGTAAATTATTTAGTGAGAAACCTAATAAATATGATGTCTATAGTAAATTATTTAGTAAGAGAAACCATATAAACATGATGTCTATAGTAAATCATTTAGTAAAA